GAACCAACACAGGGCAGCATTCTCCATTGATTAGAATGCAGAATTCATTTAATGAGTTAAGTTCTAGAGTAGACATAGACATTTTTTCGCTGTCTTTTTTGAAATTTAAAAAAATTATGAGGGCTTTCTTCCTCTAAAAATACATAAAATATATTACGTTTACATTTATAATATATTGCATTCAATTGCATTTTTTTTTTTGTCACAAATAATTTTTGTTATGTTCCATTTTGTATATGTATATCTTTATGTTTTATTGTATATTACTTGCTGATTTAAGTATATTGTGGATGCTATTTTGGTACTACGTACTGTTTGCACCCCTAACACTCAATAATAACATAAGTAAAAATAAATCAAACGGAAAATTATATACAAAATTTTTTAGCCTTTTGGTTTTAACCTCATTAGCGAATATATATTCAATGTAATAATTATTATAGTTTAATTATAAATTTATGTAATAAATAAATTAACACCATCATCGTCAAGTATAGATATTTCAACCCCTATGCCTATATATATATATGTATATATATATATATATATCGGTATATATATATATATATATATATATATATATATATATATATATATATATATATATATATATATATATATATATATATATATATATATATATATTCCATTTGAGGGATTTGACCCTGTAGATTACATCTATTACCTGGATCTTTTGTCGTATCCTTGGTTATTCCCAGCATATTTTGTTCCATCGAACGTTGTGCGACCTGCAGTTTCCTTATGATCTCCGTTTTAAGTGTGGAGGTTTTACATGCATAGGTCATGACTAATACACATTGGTCGAATGTTTTCTTCTTTAGACAGAGTAGCATTCTAGTTTTGAATACATTTGAGTTTCTTCCATAAGTACTTCATGCTAACTTAATTATTCTGTTGATTTCTGGTAGTAGAGATCCTGAGCTGTGTAATAATTGTCTCAAATATATATAGTCTTTTACTATTTTCAGTGTTGTGTTATTTATTAGAATAATCGGTTATAATAATTGGAAAATATTTTTCCAGGTATATTTTTAATTAATACTACCAATATTTTTATATATTTTATTCTTATTTGTATCCATTTATATCCAGAGGGATGATGTCGGTGTCTGTCATCCTGTAATTGGAATGCCTAGCTAGTCCAATTTGTATTCAGGCTCGACGAAAACCTAAGGTTTTTACAGAAGGATATATTTTCGACGATTAAAGTCTGCTTGGAATGCGTGTATAGAATATTTGCTGTCGTGAACTTCTCCAAAAAATGTTATATTGTTTTTTTTATCAAGAAAGTATCAGCTACGCATTCGAAGAGAATTGGGAGAATTGTAAAAAAACAGTAATTGAAAAGTTTTATTTCATTACTATTAGAGATATTTTTTCTTCAAATTTTAATAATATTTATTTTAAATTTCTAATTTCTAATTTCAATTTTATACCATTTATTTTTTCTTAAATTAGATTAGATTTTTGAGGTGGCTATTGGCCTGTTCCACTGCCAAGAAGTTTTGCCAAGTTTTTAGAGCTATTGTGGTCCTCTTCTGATCCTTAGGTTACATTCTTCTGATCCTTAGGTTACATTCTCCAGTCTCCCTACCCTTTTCAAAAAGTCTAGCAACTCGCAGACTGAACCCTTCATATAGCTTTTTGTCAATGGCCCGTCATTGTCTAATACAAAAGACAGCACGTTTTTCATGCTGTTGCGCTAACATAAAATGTATTTTGTCATTTTTTTTTTGTCAAAAAGGCAACGTCGCAGGTCAAGTGTTAATGTGAATTAGAATTTTATCCCTTAAATATATTCAAAAAGTGGAGTTATCTTTGAAATAAATTAGAAAATTCAAATTACAAGTTATAAAGTATATTAAGATAGAACGGGTGAGTGAAAATCAGTTGATTCAGACTTCACGAAAAGTAGTTTTTGAATATCTCTAAAATACTATCACATAGAAGAATTTAAAGAATTTGCAATATTTAGCAAGCAACCTTACAAGCCATTCCAACGGTATTGTCAAGTGTCCCAAAATTTACTGCTGTTTATCGATAAAATGACCCAAGAAATTAAATTAGGGGATTTATACACGCTCTTGAATAATATTGACGAAAAAGTTTGCAATAAGATTGATAACATCAAGACAGACCTAGATAATCTCAGCTCTAAAGTTGATAAGCAGCTTTTTTTCCTTCAAAGTAAAATTGAAGTGTTAGAAACAGAAAATAAGGAATTAAAATATCAAGTATATCTTACACAAAAACTTTTAAAGAAAAACAATTTGATAATATATGGAATGCCAGAGAGAAATAGTGAACATCTTGTGGAATCTATAATAGATATTGTAAAAGAAAAACTCGATATAAATTTGAAGATAGAAGATTTATCGGAGTGTTTCAGATTTAGAAAAAATATAACCAAAGATCGACCTATCCTTATAAGCTTAGTGTCTTGTTTAAAAAGGACGGAACTCCTTAAAAATAAGGGAAAACTCAGAGGAACAAATATATTTATAGACGAAGATTTAGTAGCAGAAGACAGAGTGAACAAAAAGGTTTTAGTCGAAAAATTGAAAGAAGCAAAAGCTCAAAACAGAAACGCTAAGCTAAAAGGAAATAAGTTAGTAGTTGATGGTATTAGTTATACTAATGGCGATTTTAAAGAAAAGTATTATCAAGAAGCATCCGGATCCAGAACGTTGTCATTTCTCCAAGAAATGAATCCATGCAATTATCCACAATCGCAGACTGAGGTAGAAAAACTGCAAACTCAAAAAACTGGAAAATTACTAAATCATAATAATATTGGAAATAGCGAAGATCTACCAAGAGAAGATATACCGGGGTTCCGAAAGAAAACGCCAGGTGCAAGACATATCTAATATATTTCCTGAAACGAACGTGAAACGAGCACCTCCGTATCGGACGCGACCGAATTCCAACAAATCTTCATAAATTATTTTTTTGTGAAACCGTTGTAAAAAGATTAGGATATTTTTAACTATAGATTAAGATTAATATGTTTTTATTATTTATATTTTTTTTATTGATTATTATTCTGTGAATTATTTTTTTTGAGCATTATAGAAGAATGTTAATAAAGATAGCAATAGCAAGTTATAGAAAAATAAGAAAAAATAAGTAGTGGTCAGAATTATATTATGGAAACGATCAACATATTGTATTTTAGTTATATTTTTAGGCTGTATGTATGAATGTCATCTGAATTTGTATTTGTTGATCGCATAGAAAACCTCGCACAAAAAACTTTTAGTTTTTTCAGAGGTAAATTTATGTTTATGTATTTTTATTGATACATTGTAATTTATTGAGTATATAAATAAACATCATATTAATATTAATTAATTAATTTCTTCTTCATTTTGACAAAGTCTGCACATGGGTTCGTCCGTCAGTCTCATCAGCTTTAGAAGCCTTTTAAGCTTACAATTGCCTGTTATACCCCACTACAGTTTTGCCTGTCTTTGGGTATGAGGTCTGCCGTAAATTTTGGCGCATGTTTTACTGTGAAATTTTTCTATTATTTTTGCTCTGGTCTATTTTTCGACCAATCTAGAGGTTTATTGACCACCCACCGTTTTGTAGATATTCTTGCAATGCTGCAGGAAGGTTGGAGCTGTGAATGACACTGATGAGTCTTGTTTCGCCATTTCATCTGTCTTTTCGTTACCCTTGTTTATGTTTCCTTACAAATATTAAGAAGCATCATTAAACATTTTAATTTTTTTTTCGAAAATTCTTTTGAATAAATTTAGTTATGTCGAATTATTTATCGAATATTTTGGTCAATGCTTATTGTTAATTTGAAAAAAAAATCTTTTCAAATTAGTTTTTTTTACATATGAAGGGTCGAGGGGAAAACAAAACCCAAGATAACATTTTACTAATTTTACAGGAGATCCCTTGGCGGCTGGGGGTTATCAGCTTCTTTCCCTGTTATTTTTACTAGGCATATATCATAGGATAAGAAACCTTGTTGCCCTGCAGAGTTTATACATTTTGTAGAGACAAATTAGACCTACTATAATATTGTAAAATCCTAAAATTAAGAAATTGACGCTTATCATGTTTTTCCCGGGACAACTCATATTTCTAAACGTATCGTTGTTACTTTTATTAAGTCATCTTTAAAAATACTTTTTAGTCATAAAGAAATATTTTCAGAATGTATTTTAACCAAGAATATCTTGTATTCACCTACTTTCATTACCGTATTTTTACTGGCAAAACAATAAAAACAATATTAGCTCATCTAATTTAAAATTCATGTCTTCTTTTGCATTTATAGTGGATCGGTCAAGTTCGTTGATGAAAAAAATTTAATAACGCAGAAAAGCACTAACAATGTTTACTACGTATTTTCGCTTTAACTCGTAAAAACTACACGTTTATTAGCCTAGAACTACATACATAACACTAAAAAACATATTTACATCCATTAGCTAATTAACATAAAATGAAGTAATTTAAATTCATATTTTTCTCTGAACATGACCTTGATAATTTATTATATTAATTTTCTGACGAGAAATTTCTGTAGGCATATACAGGTTGTCCCAATATTCCATGAACATACTACAATATTTTTTGGTATTAAAATATGGTAATTGGACACAATTTACTTCTATACAAAAGTAAAAAAAAATCGGGTTTTGTATATGCTAAACTAAAGAATGTTATGTTATGTATAACTAATAATGTTATCAAATAAAAAAGAGGAAACCATAGATAATATAAATGTTTATCAAAAGGCGAATCATAATATTCAATATTATGGAAATTTCAAGAATGAATCAAAGTAATTAAAGAGAAATTGCCTTCTAATAAAGACCTTATGAATTTTTAATTATTCATCCAATATTCAGCCGAGCTTTTATCAAGTTTTCAATTCTTCCAGCCCATTGCTTTGCCTCTTTCTTCACAAAGTTGAAACCCTAATAAAAAGCAGAAATTTGTTCTTTTTGTTTCAGAAATCGAGCAGCGAGTGTTTCAGCGTTAATTTCGAGGTCGGCGACGAATCCACTTGGGATAATGAGTTGTTTTTTCCCGCACAGAGGGGAATTACCTTACAGTAAGTATTTGCGGATGAAATTTAGTATTTATTTGACTTTTAGAAATGAAATCGCTTTTTGTATAGTGTAAACACCGCTTCATATTTCTTTTCTTATGCTCATTTTCTCATATTGCAGTTTAGCTCAGTTTAACTTTATCTTTTTTCGGTTGTGAATTTACATCGCTTAAGCCCACGGCCACACAGAAAGCGTTTTTTGGTTTTTGCGTGTAAAGCGCTTTTGCGATTTTACCGTTTGAGCGTTTTTTGGTTTTTGCGTGTAAAGCGCTTTTGCGATTTTACCGTTTGAAGATTTTATTTCGATTTGTGTCCTTTGAGAAAGAGATAGGCGAGATCGGCGCGGTTAGCGTTAAAAAGACGACGATGTTTTGTGGTTACTTTGTGTGTTATAATCATTATAACATAATAGAATAATATAATAAATAATTATACAAGAGTTTCTTGTCGTCGTTTCCACAATATGTTGATGCGGGACTTAATATCTTACCGCTACTTTACGACAAGGCGTGTTTATATACTCTGCGCTGTGCTCGACATATTGTGGAAACGACCCAAGCTCACCTGATGATGGGGTAGGGCCCCGAAACCGGTAGTGAGAGCAGGTTGATCCACATTATGTCGAACACAGCGTGGAATTAATTTCTATATTAGCAGTTCAAGGCAAGAAACTCTTATATAATTTTATTATATACCTAAAAACTGCAAGAAATTTATTTTCCGTTATAATAAATAATTATAGTTATATAATAGACTAGTAAATATTAATTATTGCTAACGCAATTTTAGGACATGATTTGTGGAACTTTTTGAAGTACAACCTTTTACGAGCGCTGGGAGTAAAAATTAGTAAAAGTAAAAGGCCGTGATACACGAGCTAGCGAGTCGACCCTGATACACGAGCTCGTAGTAACGTAAAGTGGTAACAACTTAGAAATACGTACTGGCGCGATGTGTATTTTTGAGCAGTCCATGTGTTTATCAAAAATATTGATATTTCAATAAATATTTTGTAAATGTGAATCAAATTATTACGTGTACAAAACCATTTAATTAAATTAACCGTAAAACTATTTTTAATATTTTTTTTTATTTTACTTGAATAAAACTGTTACACGTATAACCACATTTTACGCGTAGAAAACCATTTGTTTCACGTACAAAAACTATTTGTTACACAAAAAAAATATTTTTACGCGTAAAAAATATTTTTTAATTTATTACTTTTTCAACCTTTCAAACTACACTTTTTCAAACAAATTATTTCAAATTCTTCAATTTGATAGAACCTTCCTAAACAGTAGACGTTCTTTATAAAAATATTTTTAGATAATACCCTAAAATGAAAGAAATGCATACTATTTAATTTATTTTTATTATTTTATTAGATATTACTATACCTTTTACTACCTATGACGGGGTCTCATCTTACAGCGCTTTCAGACCGTCCGAGCGGATGTTTTTTCAAGATAGCTCATCCGGACTGAGCATACGCGACCCATGTGAAATTGTTCATTTAAACTCATGGAACTGGCGGACGGTCCCTGCGGACGCTCCGCTCCATCTGAAAACGCTGTTAGAAATCGCTAAAGACGCTATAGAAAACAAACTGATTTGTTTTCATTTGCGTCTTTTTGCGAGACACGCCAAACGCTACACGCTTTTGGTCGGAGTCTTAAATAAGTGCAAATATTTTTAAGGGTAGTATATTTCGACCCCAGAAACACGATAATGAGGTTTGTTTCGCGCAAAAAAATTTTGAAAATTTGAAATTTTTGAAAGCAATTTTAGAAATTTTTAAATTTTTAGTTAAAAAATATAATTTGTTGATAATATGGCAGCATAGGTAGTAGATTAAATTTACAAGAACGAAAATCCTCGGAAAATCCATAATAGATCCAGTGGTTCTCAAAATTTTAGCAAAACATAATTTTTCTTGGAAATTTTAAAAGTAAAATAATTCGGTTATTTTGGACTTTTATGTTATTTTGGTTATTTTGGACTTTTTTATTTAAAAAACGGTAAAGAGAAAATATGTTTCTTTTATCGAGATCTACCAGCCATGAAAATATTTGCACTTATTTAACACCCGTTATTTTGTTTTAGTCGCAAAAGACGCTTCACGCAAAAATCGCTTTCTGTCTGGCCGTGGGCTAACTCCTGTATTTGTTAAGAAGGGATCGCTCAGTGATCCTCTGCTTCATCTAGACTAGAATTAGAAAACTAACTTTTCATCAATACGGAAGTTGCTTTTTTACCATAGTTTAATTTTTTATTAGATATCCAAAAAGAAGTTACTTCTCTATAATCGTTACATTAACCTGATTTTTCGATGAAAAAATAAAGAAAGGACATAAAATCTCCGAAAAAACCGTACGTTTTAATAAAGTGTAAAGCCGCAAATAAACAAAATTAAAAAGAAGAATAATAAATACGGAGAGGCGCTTAGTTTTTGGCGAGCAGCGACACTTTTGGTGCGATCTGAATAATTTGCGGGGAAAACTTTTCAAGTATAAATGGTTTTCCGCGAAAACTCATTATCGTTACGGGCAAGTGGCGATGTCCCGTTGCCTCGCAATTTTCCAGAATGGGCCAGTTCGGTTTACGAGTTACCCGTAATTACATAACTGTTAAAATGTATTGGTTTTGTAAGTGTCAAGTATTGATAGGGATAAACTGTAGGTCTCGTGTACAGGGTGGGTCAAATTCGACGCTTTTAAATGGAAACATCCTTTTTTATAGCAGATAGACAAAAACTAATATCGGTGTCTGGAGCTCAGTTTTTGTCAAAACATAATCGTGAAAACCGCATATCGATATCTGTTACCGTTTCGGAGTTACGGGGTGTTTCTCAAAAATATGCATTTTTAACAAATCGCTGTAACTTTTTTCCTATGGAAAATTTTGTATTTCTATGAAAACATTTCCAAAGCACCTTTTTACGTAGAATTTAATGGTTTAAGTATATTTTTTTTTAAATTAATAATTTAAGAATTATCAACAAAAAAAATGATTTTTTATATGGGATACCCTGTATATTTTTAATTTATTGAAAAGAATTTAAAATTACCTTTCCAAAAATATAACACACTTGATATTTTGCTCGAATCCTCTTCGAGATATAGAGTATATAAAAATTCGCCCGCTTTAAATAAGTAGGCTTTGAACGGCACCGGCTGTAATGCAAAAAAATTCTAGCTGTGAGCATCAATTAAAACGAATATAATATTTGCTATGAGAGATGCAGAATTTTATAACAATTTAAAATATATTTAACCAACATCGACACATTTAAACTATATCTACTAACAATAAAAATAAATAGCAAACCAAGACATGAGATTTTGCTACGGGTGTCGCTACAGGTGACATATCGACCATCTTCAGTTATGGACAGACTGGGCAGTTTTTGAACATTTCTCACGGAATTCTTTAACTCAGTGGAGGTGATAAGGAACCTTTATTCTTCCGCAAATATATCCATAGTATTAGATCCATGGGCACTAAGTCAGGCGGCCTCGACGGCCAACGGCTGGGATCTTGGTTAGCTATCCAATTATTCTTGAAATTGCCTGCAAAAATTTGCTGATAACTTCAGCGTTCAGAGGCGGTGCGTCGTCTTGCTGGAAAAATATATTTTCGAGTTGCATTAAGGGCATATCATCAATAAGGGGTCCAAAACCTACTAGTTAACAGTGGCGAACTTTAAAAAATTCTGTATTTCGAAGGGAAGATAACAAAATATCAAGTGTGCTATATTTTTGGAAAGGTAATTTTAAATACTTTTCAGTTAATTAAAAATATAGAGGGTGTCCCAAATAAAATATCAATTTTTCTGTGGATAACTCTTAAATTATTAATTTTAAAAAATTATACTTAAACCATTAAATTCTACGTAAAAAGGTGCTTTGGAAATGTTTTCATAGAAATACAAAATTTTCCATAGCAAAAAAGTTAGAGCGATTTGTTAAAAATGCACATTTTTGAAAAACACCCCGTAACTCCGAAACGGTAACAGATATTGATGTGCGGTTTTCACCATCATGTTTTTGATGAAAATTGAGCTCCAGACACCGATATTAGTTTTCGTCTATCTCCTATAGAAAAGAGTGTTTCTATTTAAAAGCGTCGAATTTGACCCACCCTGTACTTGTGAAACACTGATAACACACATCACAAGTACATGCGAGAGGTAGCTGAAGCTCTCTATAGAGTATGGTACTGTAATAAAATCTAATTCTTTTGATATAATTGCACTAGCATCCCTTCTATTTCTGCGTAAGCATCAATCAATTGTATAGGCAACTAGCTTAGGCTCCAATATATCTGTATTGTGGATCCCTAGCCATGTAGGCATTACTGGTAATGAAAGCGCTGATCATTACGCGAAAAATGCACGTCTAAACGGTACAGATAGGTTATCAGTTTATTCCACGGGTTGTCTGCTCACAAAAATCGCCCGACTGTGCAAATCCCTGATTCAACTGGAGTGGAATCTTCTGGAGGAACCTAACAAACTCTGGAATGTCAAGAATTAGTTGTTAAAAGACTCCATGTTAGGACATTGTAGGTTTTCTCATCAATTTTTGCTTAAGGGCCAACCACCTCCTCTATGTGATAAATGTAGTAATCCTTTAACTGTCAAACATATCCTTAAGGATAAGTCAGTTAATTAACCTAAGAGAGGCCTGTAATCTTTCGTCAGACATGTCAGTTATTCTTTCTACAAGTGAGCAACCAAAACTTTTTGATTTTCTGGAAAGATCGGGATATATATCTAAAATATAGGTATCTAAAAAGCTACATTTTGGTTTAAAGCAACCAATTACTAATTCAATTGTACATATTTTTACGTTTTATTGTTTTATTCTATGTTGTCTGTACCATTTACTTTTTATTTTTACAAAATCAATGTCTTGTTGTTTAGTAAAATGTCAAATATTGTATCGAACTAAAATAGCAGGTGATACGCCGCTAAATAGCCTTTGATGCTGATGCGGCTTGAAAGCTAAATTTCTTCTTCTTCTATTGATGTATTTCTTGAATTTCTTACGTTACATCGACTTGATTTTAATTCTTTAATTAATTATGTTTATCATACTATCAATATACAGGGTGTACCAATATTTCGTGGGCATAGAACTACTACGTATTTTTGGAATCAAAATATGTTTATTGGACACAATTTACCTCTATACAAAAGTGCTTTGTTTGTCCGCTAGAGAGCATCAAACTTTAAAAAAACAAACACATTTTTTTCAGATATTTTAAGAACTGTTATTCCGATTTGAATGATATATCCTATGTTTTGCTGAATGCTTTAATATTTGGCTTTCACAAAAATCAATAAAATGTACGGGAGAAGTGAAAACTACCCCCACCCCTACATAAATGTTCTTATAAATATTTTCCAACTCCACCGACGACAGATTTTCTTTTCGTAAAATGGTCCCTCTAGTATTTACTACATTTTTTGTCTCTAGTAAAAAACGCTACATCGCATAGTTTTTGTGAAAATTTTTTTTTTGGGAAAATTTATTTTTCCTAAGCACACCTACAGAATATACAGGAAGTTACAATATGCCGTGGAGATAGAACAACTACATATTTTTTGGATCAAAATAAATTAATTGCTCATAATTTACCTTTATACAAAAGTGCTTCGTTTGTCCATTAGCGAGCATCAATCAAAAATAAACCAGAACGTTAATTAATTTAAAAATTATTATTTTTTTTAGCAAAACTTGGCACTTAGAGCACTTAGCAAAACATAGACACCCAAAATCTCATTCTAATCGGAATAACGGTTCTTAAAATATATGAAAAAATGTGTTTATTTTTTAAAGTTTTGAAGTAACCCCCCTAGCGAACAAACGAAGCACTTTTGTATGGAAGTAAATTGTGTCCAATGAAATTAATTTAATTTCAAAAATACGTAGTAGTTCTATATCTACGGAATATTGGGACACCCTGTATATCATCAAGACTAGACCATCTAAATCCATCCAACTAGTATAATGAAGCTAGTGTGAACACAAGTGCCGTTTTCCATCTTTCAGTTTTCAGTATCACTGACTCAGCCAGACGGCTTAACTGAATCTGAAAACTGAGGATCCCCCTTAAATTGAAACTGTCCACTTTTTACACTGGATAAGTTTCAAATAAGTGCACAAATTGTCAGGGCTAGTAGATTTCAATAAAAGAAACATATTTTCTCTGTACCAAAATAGCCGAAATAACTCGGCTATTTTGGAAAAATTGCTTAAATTTTGAAAACCAGTGGATTTTTTCTGCATTTTCTTTTCTCTAAATTTAATCGACTACTTCTTTTGTCATACTATCAAAATGTTATGTTTTATATTATTAATCGAAATATACCAACCGTAAAAATATATGCACCTATTCAAAACCCACCCTGTATTGTAGTTCGGTTGGTTGAATTAGAACGAGATTTTTCGCAAAGGTGGTAACTCACTTTTCCAACACCGGCAAATTTATTGGCGCTGTCGTTTCCGAAACGAACTGAACTCAATAGAATCAATAAACGTCAGATAGAGACAATTAATTGAATTATACGAATTCGCGCTGCGTCTGTCTCTCTCTTATTTTAAGTGATCAATGATTTCCTACTAATTTTATCTCCCTCTCTTTCAGCGACTCGTTGTCGAAGCTGTGCGAGCTGAGGAACATCGATTTGGCGGCTTGCGACGCCCGACTGCAGGACAAGGAAAACAACTCGGAAGTTTTCATTTTGTTCACGCAAGACACGGCCAGTTTGGTAGGAAGACATATTAGAATTACAGGTAAGACATATGTGTATACAGGGTTTTTTAAAAAACATGTGTTATCTCTCGTGGGAAAATTCCTCACGTAAAAATAAGACATTTTTCTTCTTTATTTCGTTATAGCTTAAAGTCTTAATTTTTTTTAGATTTATTATAATTTTCTTTCAATTGCCTTTAGCGAATCGAATGAAGGGTAAAAGTTACTGTAAGTGCTACATATTTTAGTAAGTGTTGACAGATTCAGCAGGGACGTGTATATTGCTTATCACTAGTATATTTTTCTAAAAGAAAACATATGCGCCAATGACTTTTTCCTCTTGTTAGCCGAATTGTGTAGACCGTTTAATGCCGATTAATAGTTGTATTTTGATATTTTATCGATTTCGATCTCCTTGATGAGATAATATGCCATGGAACGCAATAGCGCAAATAACACAATAATAATAATTATTTACACTGCAGAAACCAGAAGTAAGAAAACATTGTAAAAGAACAGAATTTGTATCAAAATGTATTAAAAATATAAGTACCTAGTATAACAACATACTAAAATAGTAAACACTGGTATATCGCCATGATTTGGTGGACCTCATTTAGTCATTTTTTTCTCCTCTTTTCCCTCCAAGCAGTTGGTTTATTAGCATACGCAATCATCGAGCACTCTGTTGGACTTTGTTGTATTTTATTTCCAGATTAACAATCTCACTCTTAAATTTTATATGAAACTGATTATTGAATATTAAACATATCTGTATATTGATCCATCAATAACTTACCGAATATCAGTGTAAGAAGTTCTTTGAAGTGTTTAAATCTTTCTTTCTCTGGTTCATTTAGATTTTTATTATCTCCAAATTATGTTGCAGAGCTAACTCAGCTAACCTCTTTATCATTATACGAGAATATTTGGAGTTTTCATTCATTAGAGTCAAAATTTGGTAAATTGGGTATCGAGTAAGGGAAGAGTCGCTGCTATAATATTAATAATACTTTTAGGAAGGTGTAGCAAGGTAATCAAAAACTTGTGCTTACCTTAAAATCTCTAACAAACACACTTTAACTACACACAAACAGAACATTTATATAGAGCTTCCGAATGATAAAACAATAATGGCTGCTAACACATACCACTCCTAGAAAGGAGAAAGGAGAGAGGACACCTAAGAAACGAAGCGAACGATACACTTGGTCGGTGTGTCTACGCTGAGGCTATCCGCGTTTGCGCACACCTTCATTTCATGCTAGAATGTAGACACAACAGTACACTATTACAAAGTGTCTATATAGATATTTATATTATGTGTTTACGTCACATTTTTACAAGGTGTGTACTATAGGCACAACTATGACACGATGTATCACACATACATATGACTTATACATTGTATGTCTCATATACCGACGTCAGATTTCATAATTTTAATAATTATTTGTAACGTTACAAAAAACTCTTTAGAATCTTGAGTGCATACGGTATACAACTAGTAAACACTGTATCACATAATTCTATCAATATAAACCTGCGTGTATCTCATATGTATATGTTAGAACTAGATGAACACTTAGGTTCACTTTAACATATTTTGTTTCTCATGTGTCTCCCTTGTAGAAACGTAATTTCATTTGGACGTGCTGTATGGGACATTATTAGGAAAAAAAATTATTTCCGTTGACAATTAATATAAAAATTGTTTAGCATTGTTTTCGGTACATTTTGTAGTCATTCATAACAATAATAAAAATACAATTTTCAGCAGTTTGACAACTTTTTTCATCATGAACACCGAGATGCATACATATTGCTAAGTTTGTATGTTTAAATAAGTATATTTTCTTTGTTTAAATGAAATTTATCAAAGTAATCCCTAATTCGTTTTGACTAGTTTATTTAGCACCTTGGCCATTAGGACATTACACTTAGATTAAGGAAAATTAATAAAATGCGTTTATCTCATCAAGGAGACCGAAATAGGCAAAATATCAAGAGGCAACTTTTAATCGGTAATAAACGGCCTACACAACTGTAATAAGAGAAAAAAGTCAGTGGCGCACAGTTATTTTTTAGAGAATATTTCAGTGATAACCCATATGCACGTCCCTGGTGAATCTGTCTTACTTTTCAGCACTAAAATATGTCGTACTTATACGAACTTTTACCCTCAAAATTTCATTCGAATTACACTTGGAAGGAAATCATAATAAATCGAAAAAAAAACTAAGATATCTTATTTTTACATGAGGAATCTTCCCAAGAGAGATGGCAAATGTTTTATAAAACACCCTGTATAATAAATAACTATTTATTTTTGTTACAGCCAAAGAGCAAAGCAATAAAAAATATTCCGGGTCATTCCACAGCAATCACTCACGAAAGCAATCAGGTGTAAGTATGACAAATTTAATTTTATTACTCTTAATGCTTAATTACTTCCCACCGTGCCCGACTTAGCTCTTAAATGACAGGAAGTTTTTCATTAGGAGATTATTATATTCCTTTTCTTATGGATTGTATCAATTAAACGAAATAAATCAACTAGGGATTATAACTAGCAAAAAGTGTTTCCGGTTCCGGGATTTGTAGGAAGTAATATTTTGACGGAAAATACTGAAAAGATCGATCTGTTTCTTTTTCATTAGGGCATTACTTCCGTTTAAACATATCAGTTTGCCTTTGTTTTGTACATTACAACTTTTTTTGTTTTTTGACTTAAAATTTTCATTAAAAATGCTTTTGTTTTACTTTCATTAAGATATTAAATGTCCCTTTATTTTAGAAAATAAGTCACTTGCTGTTTACTTCAGTTATTTTTAGGAAACTAGCCGCTTCATTATTTTGTGTATTAAATAAAAACATGAGCAAATATTTAGGGGTAGTATAATTCGATTCCAGAAACACTAGTCTATGAGGTTTTTTTTGTGATTTTTTTTCAAATACGAGTAGTTAACAAATACCTGGATGAGATTGGACTACGAAGATTGGAATGGTTAGTAATCTCCTCCTTGTAGTCTCGACCTCAATCCAATCGAACACTTGTGCGATGAACTTAAAAGAGCTGTTCGTCGTCGTCCTATCTAACCACCACAAACTTTACATGAGCTATGGCTAGCATTAGCGGATATTCCTCCGTTAATACTAGCCTTAGTTCTTATAAAGGGTGTTCTTTGAGTTTCTCGATACGATGAATACCTCCAGCTATTATTGCCGCGAGAGGTGAACATACACGCTGTTAAAATTATTATAAAATTATTCTTTTTGTCAATAAAAGTATCTCTGAAATCAATACATTACTTAAAAAATGTACAGCTCCTAAAATAATAGAGGTAATGGAATAATTCAAAAAATGAAATATTAGGAATACATCTAAGATTACAAGAAAGTGTTTTTTATACAAAATGCCTGTCCCATTTTTTCCACGGGGTGTTTTGAAGTTTTGGTTTACCCCGGTATAACCTTACCTAACCAAAATATTATAAGCCATGAAAATAATAAAAAATAATGCCAACAAATTTATCTCCAAACTAATACCATAATCATAAAAATGGGATTACAAATTAAAAAGTTATGAAACATCAAACTTGTCAAAATTTTGGGGTGGCGGAATGTTCTGCCGCGGTTTTTATGAAAAATCTTACAAATAAATATGGAGAGGATTGTTATACACCTGGGCGTTTTTTCATTATTTTCCAGAATTATAGACCAAGAACCAGCAGTTTCTTCAGCTCAAGTACCGAAGATCCGAACGTTATCAGCTCAACGTTGTCGCTGCACGAAGCGGACCAAAACAAAAAGCAAATAAAACAACGACTCACGGCGTTCTTTGGGAACAACAAGGTAAGTGAACTAATTGAGATATTGACTACGTGTATATCGGCAACTTCTAATCCAATTCTATCGATCGGATTGAAACACTTTTTGTTCAATTCCGTGTTTATCGCCATTTTTCTAAAGCTTGTCGCGCAGTTAGCGGAACCGAAACGAAACAATACAATTCAATTAAGGAGCGCACAGGCTATAGTGTGCAATCAAAAATATGTAATGTGCACAATAAAAAATAAACGTTGTTTAAGGATCAGAAGAGAACCACAATAGATCTGAAAAATTCGCAGTAAGAAGAGCCACCTCAAAAATCCATTCTAATTTATTAATAAGGCAGATTTACTATAAATATAGTTTGAAATTACCCGCATATAAACTTCAAATTACTATTTCTTGTAATGTTTCGAAACTCTAATCATCGAAATTTAACACGGCTCTAAAGTTCTCCACTACTGCTCAACTCTTCCCAAGAATTTACCTAGCGTTTATTAATTTTACAACTTGAAAATACAGCCTCGTTTCTATTTCGTGTCCTAATTTAATTTGTATCCAGAGTTATTAGTTTTGCTGCATTCGCAGAAAACGAAGAAGTAGAAAATTAGACAAATTTTTGCCTGGCACGGAACAGACTTGCAACGAGCAACTAAACTAAATTTAAAACTAGTCAGAAGAGAATCTAAGAAGTAATTGTTTTCTAATAAGAGTTTAACATTTAATTGTAAATACAATATGTAGAGTATCTTGGAAGTATTCATCGTGATGGGGACTTCGAGCGTGATGGGGACTTAATCTGACCAATTTCAATTCCGATTTATCAGTGCTGTTCTAATTTTAGACAAAACGTATAAAAATATAATGTAGAGTAGACTCTTAAGTCAAATTGAGATATCTTAATTATTTTTGATGAGGTGATAAATAAAAGCGAAAATGCAGGAAATGCAGTAAAATTTAGTAATATAATGGAATAGAACCATTAGCCTTAGATATCTACTGAGCTTACAATACCCTGCTAGTAGACCCACAACACACACACACACACAGACTACATCTAGTCTAGTTTTTATAAAAAACAAATAAATCGAATAAAAAATAGACTTCATACTTTCTGCCACTATTTTCCATAGTCTCCATTCCAACACAATCTTAAAGTCAAATAATCTGTTTGGTCCATGTTGAGTTAGAACGAGGTTTTTTAAATAACTTTAAAGTTTCTGTGACGCGTAACGAACGGCTTTTGGAACGAACGAAGTTATTTAATATTTATACACAGCTCGTTTAGACTTAGATGAGATGTATTTCATTTTAATTTTTACCAACCGAAAGAAATTTTAATGGGGCAAATAGCAAAAGCAATTTATTCTTTTGGAAATTTTTCAAATTCGTTACTGGATTATAGCGTGAACGCTTAATAGGAAAACTTTGACGATATAATTTCGGTTTTAGTTTTATATATTTATTTTTTACTATTTTTTATTTCCTATATCGAGAAGTACATTTAAATATATATTAACGAACAATAATAACAAAATCGCATTAAAATGATAAACTCAATTAGTGTGAGTTGTCTAGCAACTTGCATGAATTAATAAATATTGGTAACTGTAGAGTTTTTTATATTATTGTTTTTCTATTATTTAAATCGTTTCAGATGGTCGCAAAAAACATTTTCATAATTTTTCTGTATATGATTTACAGTTTCTTTAATTCATAATATATAATAAGTGTCAAAAAATGGAAAAAATCTATATGTATTTATCATAATTCGATATTTATTGCTGGTTGTTCTTATTTTTCCATTTTATGAGATTTTTCAAGGGTGCCCAAAACCAGACTGATAAAATTTTTTGGTCAGAAATCAGCACTTTACATAAATGTCTGCAAAATGTTTCCGTTTGTCTGAATCGATATAGTTAATTCAAGAAAAAGTTAGCTAAGGTCTCTAGCTTTCCATTGGTTTGCATATCGGGAGTTATGGACAGGTCTCTCCTACACATTTTATTTCTTTATAATTACAGTAAGGTCAGTTAATGTTTACAACAGTAGTTTTTATTTTAGGTCAAATATTTTTAGTCTTTAAATATTCATTGGCGATATACAGGGTGGTCCGAACTGTATTCCGGAAACTTCGGCAGTATATTCTACAAATAAAAATAAGTAAAAAAGTTTCTATAAATGTATGCCCTAAAATACTTAGTTTCGGAGATACAGGGTGTAAAAGTTTCATTTTTATTTCGATTTTTTCTAAATAATTTCTGAAGTAACGTCAATATTTGGATGAAAATTGGTGTCTGGAAGTTTTGTGACACGAGAAATTTGATTTTGATGCCAAAATGACTCCTATTTGTAGAGGGCGCTACCTACATATTTTTTAAGTGGTTTGAAGAATAATATTTTTTCGGCGGTACCTGTATAAAACTACTGACTAAAAAATATACATTTCCATGACTTTTTACGTAAAAAATGTCTCTTAGTAAAAGTCGCTACGAGCAACCGTTCTCAATATATTTAAAATGGAAATAGTCAATACATGTCATTATTGACAAAAAAATAAGCACACGTTGAATAGAGTTATTTGACTGAAATAATAAATTTTAATTTTTTTAAATTAATCATAAATTTTTCAGTGAAAAAATGATGATTAAACAGTTTCTGTTGAACTTTTGACACAAAAGATTTCAAATTTAAGATTTCAGTCTAATAACCATTTGGTCAACATGTTTAATTTGTCAATGATGACAGGTATTGATAATTTCAATTTCAAATATCTCGAGAACCATTATTCGTAGCGATTTTTACCAAGAGGCCTTTTTTATGTAAAAAAAGTTGTAAATGTATATTTTTTTACTCAGTAGTTTTATACAGGTATGGACGAAAAGTTATTACTCTTCAAACCAGTTAAAGGATATGTAGGTGGCGCCCTCTACAAGTAGGAGTCATATTGACATGAAAATCAAATTTCTCATGTCCAAAAACTCCCAGACACCAATTTTCATCCAAATATTGACGTTACTTCTTAAATTATTTGGAAAAAATCGAAATAAAAATGAAACTTCTACACCCTGTATCTCCGAAACTAAGCATTTTAGGACATACATTTATACGAACTTCTTTACTTATTTTAATCTGCAGAATATGCTGCCGAAGTTTCCGGAATGCAATTCGGACCACCCTGTATATATAAAAAAATCTGCTAAATCGAAATTCGTTTAACAGAGAAAAAAAGCAATTTTATTTCATTTGAGTATTCTGTGAAATGGAGTGTGAAAATTCCCTGTCGAATTTGCCTTCTAACTTTTACAAAACATTAAGAAAGGTTGAAAAAAGTTTCTAAACGGATTTTCCATATTTATAGCCAGGTCCTTGGTAAAAAAACAGCCACTTCATCTTTTTCAAGAGGCCGGAAAATACCGAAGGAATAATAGAAGGCAAACACTGTGTAAAGTATCGTAAAAGTTTTTCTCCCGATTTCAAGTACTTTATTAGAAGACACTTATCTATAGGGTGGTCCAGGAAATTTATTCGGGAAATTTTGGCAGCATATTCTGCAGATAAAAATAAATAAAAAAAATCACATATTTAATTTCGACAATGATGACATGAATTGATTATTTCATTCCCAAACATTTAAAAATAATTACTCGTAGCGATTTTTACCAAGAGACCTTTGTTACTCTTCCAAAGAGTTAAAAAACTATGTGTGTATATTTGAAGTGAAACTTCTTACTACAGCTATTAAATTGAAGGGTTTGAAGGACATGTTTGAAAAAGTAACATATAATGCTGTTTTAATATAAATATTATTTTCAATTTAAATCTGTAATCTGTACATTTTCTGTTTCCTCAATAACCTACAAATTTTGTAGAATACCACCCAAAATACACACTTTTATGCAAATGCCTAATAATGTTAACGCCCGTTAAAATTTATTTAAGAAGAGAAGAAATTTTGAACCTAACCAAAAATTCGTGTGGTATTTTTTTGTTTACATGTTTTGATCATTATTTATAGTAATTTTCAGTAATTTTGTTAAATGATATAAATATTATCGTTGGTTATTGGTTTGAAATAAATATGACAATGTCCTCCATGTTTATTCGAGTTGTTTAACTCTAATAATTCTAATAATGAACTAGATAAAACTGTTTAGGAAAAAGTTGTCTGGATTTTTATAACTCTTTGATGTATTATTTAAAATTTGATTTCGACATAAAAAAGATATTAATTCTAATAATGAACTAGATGCTTTACCTAGACCGTTATTCGGAAACTACAAACCTATCGATGAAAATATGCATGAAAATGTAGTTTCTAGTACACAACCAGAGGATATTGGTACACAGCTACAGTAGCAAGTTTTATAATAATGATTTTCTTAGCTTTAAATCAAATGTTTTTTGGTGTTTGCACGATCGTGCGATCCTTGCCATTTTTCATCTCGCTAGCTCGTGTGTCACGGCTTTGAATTTTTACTCCCAACGCGCGTAAAGAAGTTTCACTTCAAAAATATGTAGAGGCGCCCCCTACAAGTAGGAGACATCGAAATCGAATTTCTCATGTCAAAAAACCCCCAGATACCAATTTTCATCCAAATATGAGCGTTAGTTCTGGAAATCCCACATCTACACCCATATACGCCCTGTATTGCCAAAAGGAAGTATTTCAGGACATTATTTTAAACTTTTTTACTTATCTAAACGTGCTCGAACTCAGTGTGAGTACATATTATCATAACAAAACCTCTGAAGGTGGGTAAGGGGACAAATAACTCACAATCTTTAAGATGTTTATTTAAATTTTAATGCTTCAAAAAAAGCAAGGGGGCAAGGGGGACATGTTTCGGGACTTAAACTATTCCCATCATCAGGCCCAAAAGCTAAAACATTTATATCTATATATATATATATATATATATAGCTCTATCCCACTTCTGATTTTAGCAATTAAATAATAAAAACACAGAACCTTTCCGATAAACTACAATTCAACACATTTAATCAACTATAAATCACAAATA